TTCTATTAAAGTTGATCATATACATTTCAATCTATTCGAGAAGTTAATCAAATATTTTAAAATAATGTTCAATTGTTAATTCATTAGCATTTGGAAAATAAATGACATTGTTATTCGATACATATTTACTACATATATGAACATGTTTAACTGAATTGAAATTATTTTCTTGATTACGTGAATAAAATCGTGAATAGAATTCCGAATAAAATTTATAATCTTTTCTTCTATATGGATTTATTGAATGAATTATTACACTATCTAATTTTTTTTCTCGATTATGTCGATGTGTAAAAAACCATTGTCGTTGAGTCCAAAATGAAGAATCAAATTGATAAATTAAAAGAAGATATATTAAGTCATTATTTTGTATAATACTACTATGATATATATCAAAAATACGTAAATTCGGCATTGAAGATAAGATTAATTCTTCCCATCGGTTTGGAACCAAATACGTTGAATCATGTGTTGTAAGACGTAGAACTTCAACACAACGAAAAAAATATTTGATTAACTTCTCGAATAGATTGAAATGTATATGATCAACTTTAATAGAAACATATTTTAAATATTCTAATGCAATAGGATCTTGATCAATATCTAAATCAGTAGATCCAACAAGACAATCAATTGATAAATAACGAAGTTTCGGAAGACAAAGAAATATATCAGAAAGTGAATCAATTGAAAAACGATTATTGATTACAAGATATTCGATAGGACTAAGTGTAAATTCAGTCAAATAAATCGCTATTGGTTGTTGATCATATTTTGTTTGATATATTATTTTACAATATTTTAATTTTGATAAACGAAATATATGATGAAAAAGAATATTTGGATCTTGAACATAATCAACAAGACTAAAAACTAATGAATGCAATTTTGGTAAATAAACTAAATGTTTGAGAATGTTATTAAGATATTTTGAATCAATATTATCAAAAATTAATGTTTCAAGTTGAATATAATCACAAATAATGCGTGGTGGTGAGAAAATAATATCAACAGTAAATGGATTTGATAAACGAAAATAATTAATTCGATATTTATTTGGTTTAATCATATTTTTATGATAAAGATTAAAATTTAATTTTGACATTGTTGTAATATTTATTTGAATTAGAAGATTTCTATTAATAACTAAACTTTTAAATCGTTGATTAAGATAAAAAAATCCTTCATAAATATGATAAACATCAAGATATTGAAATATTTCATAAATAGTTTCATTTGCTAAATTTTCAAAACAAGATCTAAATTAAATCAAACTAAATAATTAAATAAATTTCACATAACTAACTTGTTTATTATTACTAGAAATAAACAAAGAATTGAAATTTATTACTTAAATATAAACAGAAAAAATTCTTACATTCATTTTGTATTTTCTGTTTCTTATTGTTGTTATAAACATAAACACTGTCGTTTTCTGGTCGTTCCATAATGACGATGATACTAACCTCGAATAACGAAAAAGAATAGATATATATACACATGTGAAATAACATTCTATGTATCTCTCTCTCTCTTATCTATAGATGATCATGTCGTCTTATTGTGATAAACAGTATTCTTAATTTCTGAGACAGAGAGAAACGAAAAAGAAAGAAATTAAACAATAAAATATGCGCTAACACCAAACTTACATTTTATCCCTGACATCATTCTTCATTCCATCGATAGGTCCTGTATAACTTACTCAGGAGATTGATAGTGTATTGATGTGTTGTTTTAATCAATGACTCTTCCATAACCAACTTTCCGATCGTCAATGTTCAATCTGGATTATTTCCAGAAATGTATTTGAGACTGATGAAGAGTTCATGAAGTCGATTGATGAAAAATTGAGGTTTATTGAGGATGTGAGTATGGATGAACCGCAGACAAGTACTAACACCCACACTCTCAGATTTATTCATCGTTGGTAACAAGAAGCATTAGGATAGGCGCGAGCGAATCAGACCTCGCTGCAGGAATAAAATTATCCATGACAATAATAGACACTATAGATTCAAAAGAAGAAAAAAAAATAATGATGGAATTGTCTGAATCTTGATCTCTGAAGACATAAATAGAATTCGGGTTTTTCTTTCATTTACGATCTACAGACTGTCTATGTGTGAATTAGGATTTTCTCTTTCTCACACATCTATCTTCCATTTTAAAAGAAGAAGACACTAGTTATTTCACTGTATACAATTGATTTTTCCCAATATCAGACTGCTATACGAAAATATTATATTTCAAAGTCAGTTTCTCGGAATCTTACATCGAATCCAATTTTTATTTATTCATACAAATTCTCGAAATATCAAATAAATATTACAATACAGTATACATGATCAAAGTTCAAACTTTTAAAAAATACTCTGAAATTTTTTTCAAGACTATCATATTTTATCTTGAAGATGAATGTTTAAGATTAATTCTTTTCCTATACAGCTATGTACAAATAGACCAAAAAAATACGCGATTTATTCCATCATGCCGAATGCTATGTTTTTCCGGTGACGAATAACTCTTGACAATTTTCGACAAGCTTTCAATCGTTGTAAATATGAAATTCGGGAATATGATGCTACATCTATTTGAGTTGAACATTCTTTTTTTTCGATTGGAATCTTTTGTGAATGATCGCGTCTTTTAGGATGCCATCGATCATCACAACTGAATTCAAACCACATTGATGTTGTGCATTGTCTTGATGTTGCGTGCTTCAATCTATGTTGTCTTTGAATTTGCATGTCTTCACTTATTTCGTTCCATTTCTTTTTTATTAATTGTTTGATTTCATCAATAGAAATCGTACTTTTTACTGATGTATTTTTCTTCGTCAATAATAAATAAATGCCTTCAAGTTCGTTTGTAAGTTGTTTACCAGTCTTGTTTTTCATTTCAATAAGTTTTTGACGAAGTTTTTTACTAGAAGATCTATTGACAATGTTCACGCGAACATTGTATTTATCTTCGAAACGACGTAAATATTGACCATTTTTACCGATAAAACGGCCAGATTGTCTAAGACGTTCTTTAGCATCGAGTGCCGATTGAAATGACAAAAACATCATATAAACAGGTTGCGGTGGTTTCCTGTCACCAAACTGTTCTAATTGGATTTCATTACAAATATTCTCTAGTATAATTGGATCGATCGTATTCAAGCCTAAAATAAACATGAATGTTTGTAAAATATCTAGATCAATAGAAAATAAATCGATTCATATTCGAACTTAACAGATCATAAAGAATCTATTTATTCATGACATATACCTATTTTTTCGTTGCATGAACAACATTTATGTGATAATTGATGATAAACACTTTTATGAAATTCACCAGCGTCACGAAGTAAATTGACAGCACAATTAAACTTGGATACATATTGACGACTGTGTACAATACATTGATCGTTGAGTATTCGAACTTTAGCACATTTAGGTTTTTTATGGCAGGTTTCTATATAAAATAGAAAAATAGAGAAGATAAAGAAAGACTACTCATCAAGATGTTTAGAAAAATATGCTCTGTTTATTGAGGGTGTGAGTGTGGGAGTCATGGAAAAAAATATCCACACCCCATACCCTAAGCAATTCTACTTTTGAAACTGTAAGATTAATCATTGTCTTTCAATATATCTGATTGATTTCAATAGTTCTAGACGTGTGACTCAAGTTTTTTGTAACAATAAAAAAGTTTAATCACAGTGATTACTTTTCCTTTTTATATTCTCAACTTATTTGAATAAACAAAAAACTTGAGATAATACTCGATTATTCGAATGTAATCTACAAACGAACTATATTCATGAATGTAATGAAACAAACAACCGTATATTTATAAATCTATGTATTTTGAATCGATATGTTATATTATTTCTAATCATCAATGACAAAGAATTTCTCTCTCTAGATCCATACATTTTAATTAAAAATATAATTATTTACTTGAGGGAATACATTTTTGCGGTGTTTCATCTTCAGATTCATCCGTTACTTCATTTCTAACACCATATTGAATTTGATAAAACATATCATCTTCATATTCATTCCATTGGTATCTTATTTCTTGTTTGATTGCATCTTTTGAACATTGTTTCTTGTTCGATTTTGTTCTGTTCATTAAAGATAATTGATATATATATGGTTCATGTGCTGTTTTCGTCTTTTGTAATTGCAAATAGTTGTTCAGATTTCTTCGAAAACGAAAATTCATTTTATTAACTGATAATAATTTGATATAATGGCACATTCTATGAAGTTGATCATTATCAATTGCTTCCAAACCTAAAATGAGACTGAAGTTTTAAGATTCTCAATCGACAAATGACCCCTGATGAATTCATTCGTGTAACTGTCAATGAAAATATACATATATTAAATATAGTTACCTGCTTGTCCATTACAGGAATAAAATTGATTTTCAGTTTGTTGATCAATATCAGCAAGAAATTCCTTCTCATGACTGAGTTGACGACGAGCATAGTCAAATGTCGATGAATTGTCACCAAAATGTACCATGCATTCGCTGGTTAACATTTCAGCTGTAAGGACTAGTGAAATACGCGCATAGATATTTATATGTCAAGATAAGCACAGAACGGAAAAAACTTATGAGTCAAACCCTTTGGCGAATACTCACCAAGTTTACCAACATCGGTCGTCTTACACCATAAGCATGCAAAACAAATAGCTGCTATTGCATCGTCAGTGCAATTAAAATTGAGTAAAAATGTTGAAATTTCGATGAAATTATTGCGCAAATGTTCCGAAATTTCCATCGAATACATTCAGAAGCGTACTATGAAAAAATTTCACAGCTTCAAATTTTCATCATAAGGTAAATATCCTAAACTATAACAGAAACAGTAGCGTCTGATTGTATATCTTCTCGTCTCTTAAGGCCATACTTGGCACTAAAATATCCACGTCATTAATTTGTTTATATTGCATGAAATTATTTGACCGACTTTTGCTTTTGATTTCTTATGTTCAAATTGCAATTATTGCACAGGGAATTTTGTGAAATTCTTCAATGTTGATCATATGAGGGTGATTGAATTTTGCAGCAAATATTTGACAAGATATTGAAACAAAAGACGTTTGATGCATAATGGGTAATACCTATCGATTAGATTAAAATAAATCGGTTTTAATGAATAAAGCTCTCATAATGGTGTTTCTTTCCATGGAAGAAAATCATTCAACTAGGAAAAATTATTCTATTCAAGATCGATTTGATTCTATGCACAAACATAGACAAGTAGAATCCCGATCTTGAATTTGTTGAAATGATTCTTGTATTTTTATCAGCAGTATTTATTGATTGTGGTACTTTCGTTCGATTTTTTTACTGGCATAAAACAAGTTTTATTTTTCATTAACAAGAGTAAATTTTGTTTTATTGAAGTTCGGCGATTTTTCAACCGAGTAGGAAAATCCTTGTCGTATTAAACTAATGATATTTGTTAATATTGGTTATGATTCAGATTTAGACATAGCATTTCAGATTAATGTACAAAAATAAATCAATCCGATCATCGGCAAATGATTAATTGTCATTAGGCAATCGTATATCATTATATTTTCAAATAGTTTTATTGGTATTCTTGCAATGAAATACATTCATCATTCAGATAATAAATAGTTTCAAGCAGTCGATTTTATCTAGATTGTATGGTACGTGCTTCGAACTGATATTCTACTCTGTCATATTATTTATGCTTGCATTACTCAAAAATATCGAATAGTATAATAAAAATAAAAGTTTCAGATAACGAGATTTTGTTTTTTTCTTATGTCAAAAAACATTCTCTGCCACCTAATCGTCAACGATTGAAAAAAGTAGAATCTTTTGAAATAATTGTTCTTTGGCAAACTCGACCATAAGCAAAATCTTCTTCAAAAATTTAAATTAATTTTGGAACATCGTTGAGACGAATTTTCTTTACGCTAAAATGAAACACACATTCTTATGTATTTCTGTGACGTATGTTTAACACAATGAACCAAAGATGAAATATCGAAATCATCACGATGTGAGAGGCAAAACTTCGATAATTTTTTGCAATAATTGCAAGGAAATTACAGAAATCTGTATTGGTTTTTCTATTTCATCTGTAACAGTGCCTTTTGATTATCAGGAATTATTAAAAGAAATTTCAAGCTATTTCTCTGTTACCAGTTGTGTCATAAATCTTTCTGTTTCTTCCGTAGCCAACCGAACGAACTCAATAAGATCATATATGCATTTCTCAAAATTTAAAATAGCCTATACCTACTGTTTCGACTTTTATACTCACATAAGATTATCTCAAAAAAACTAGTTTTGAGCTCATAATAATGTAAGTCTTATTTATTTCAGTGTGAAATAAAATGAAAAGTCTATTTTAAAACAATTTTTTCCCTGTTGACTATCAGTTATCAAATCATAGCGTAGAAATATGATTACTGTTACTGTGTACAGTCTTTTTCAAAACAGTGCATATTGGAAAAGAATTTTGGGAAAAAATGAGACAAAGCAGGCAGAAACGGAACAGTCCAAAACGATGTATATGAAATTCGTATACACTTCGTCTTTAGCCGCCTACGATCATATTTCAGTGTAAAAAATGACTTTCTACTACGATCAATGTCTTCGCATTATACAAAGGATAAATACAACCATTTACGATAAAATACGAAGTAAAACGGAGATTGGATACCTAAGTCAATCACCCTGAGTCGTATTCGATAGGATAACCGGTCAATTACGGTGAAAAGTCGTTGACGCGCTTATAGAAGCCGTCCAAGGTTGCTAGAAAAGAAGATTTACAATTGTTGGATATGATGACCGTGAAAAATTACTGTTAATGTCTATTGTAGCTGGTGACTAACCGAAGAGCTTCTCAAGCGATCAGAAGCATGGTCTATATACCATTGAACAAACATTTGTCGTTTCCTATTGTAATTCTTTGTAATCTATCGTTCATGATTACGAACTGGTCTTATTGAGTAGAATAACATTTCTCTGATTGGAATTCAATAAGGCTATCGAGTGGAAATAGACTGCAATAAATGTCATAATTATTTTTTTTTATTATCAGTTGCATTTTCGGATTTTATCGATCTTTTTCATATTTCTTGAAATACGAGCAGAAGCAGGATTTTTCTGATACGTCATTTATTTTCAGAATTCCTTTGTGATTTTCGCTGAGTTTTTCAAGTACAACCGTATCTACACAATTTTGTAGTTTTCTCTATGAAATGAGTAGGTCACAAATAATATTTGATACTTCTTGAACGATTTTCTTTGATACTTTTGATTTTTCTCGCTACAATTTAAAAGCGCAATTCTTCAATATTCTCGTCTAAACGCATAAGAAATGTGTAAAACGAGAGAATATGTCGAGAGCTTTGAAAGTGCTTATTCGAGTAATATGCAAGAAGTGCCAAAAAGAAAAACCAGTGATATCTTTGATCTTTTCATATTTGTTCATCTTTCTAAAAAGCATTCAAAAGCAGAAATTTTTTCTGCTTTTATTAATTTCCTTCAGCTCTAAGTCATTTGTCCTCATTGATTCAGCAGATCTCGAAAGATATAGAGGTTATGAGATTCGTTCTATTGAATAGATAGATCAGAAATGATTCCCGATTACCTTTGCAAGATGGATTTTTTGCTGGGAGCTTTTTTTCTGGGGTGTGGGTGTGTGTGTAGCACAGTATGGTGAAGGGATATATGTTACTCCATCAATTATTTATGCATCTCATCCAAGATATTCTGAAGTTAAAGAAATTGAGTCATCGCATGAAAAGAAGTTTTTTACCAACGGCAACTATATCCAATTTGTACTGCAACGTTGTGTTCATCCAAAATATATAAAAAATAGTTCCCGAAATCTTCGAAGCTACCACCATTATTGATTTTGACATAGATAATAATGCTATGGAATGAATTATTGATTCAAAAAAGCAAACAAATAGTGGATTTCAATGATCTAGATTCTACTGTTGTTTGTACAGGTTTAATTATATGTGTTACTGAGAATCATCCTGGTTTATTATCTCGATCCCAATGATGGTTTGCATCACATTTATGCTCGAACAAAGAGAGTCAACATTGTCTCTTGAATATCGAACGCGAGGATTCGGAGAACAAAAAAATTAATGAAGAGAAGTGAGCTATTATATATTAAATTCTTACTGTTATTTTTGTGCCACTCACATTATCGTAGTTAGTTTTAAAGCTACTAGGGTCCTGTATTTAATTGTTTTTTTGGATGTTAATTGAAAACAAGCATCTGTTGAGCAAGAGACATCACAAGATATCTAAAATACATCAATATTGCTAATGAGACTATATAAGTAAACCGTATACTGTAGATTAAAACTCTATTTACATTGATTAGTACAATATGCAAGGGTATGGGTGTGGATGTTAGTTTGTTCCGAAGGACAGCTACACCCACACCCATCCACCCGATGTCCAATATCTGCATTGCATACGATTGCATGACCATACATTCGACTTTTTTCGGATGTGGGTGTGTGGATGTAGCTGTCTCTATCTTCTATTGATACCCACACATCCACACTCACGCAACATCTAGACCCTTTTTTCTTGATGAAAGTATTTTTTCATCTTATTCATAATGGTGTTTTGAGTTTTTAATATTATCAGTATCTTTTTATTTTAAATATCTAATAGATCATGAACTTTTTTTTTAGAGTGTATTTCTTTGTTTTAGTAATTTTCTTTGTATGAAAGAAAAGTGTTTAGTTATTAGATTGGTTTAATTGATACAATGGCTAAATGTCGAATATCTCTCTGCATTTGGGTCACACAAATCACTCTTTTGCTCACCGATGGGCTCTGTGCATACGTATACTTTTATATTCTATTAATAGTTAAAACTTAAAAAAAGTCTTTCATTTTCACTTATTCGAATTTGACTTTTTTCGTAATTTAAAATTCAAATGAAATTATATCGATATAAATCATTGAAAAAAGATTTATTTTAGAATTGATACGAAAAATTTCTAAATAAAATAAAATCATATAAGTTTTGTTTTATTGTACAAATTGCTTAATAAACCATGCATAGAAGTTGTAGTTGCTTTTTGGTAAAGAAATTCTCTTCGTTTCTGATGTGTTCACATTCAGATAAGATATTCCATTAGAAAAAGGGCTAATCATTATATCTGATATATAATATAAACTATTAGCTATATCAAATGCTGAAAATCGAGTAACTAATAAATTGGTTTGATTAGAAATAGTTCCAACTACTTTTCCAATGCTTCCTGTTGTTCTATCTATTATTCCAATTTGTGAAGTTGTTTCATCTGTTTGGTTTATATAGGCAGAGTACATTAAAAATGTTTTATAAGTAAATCTAATATTAAGAGGAGAAAAATTTAATGGTACTCTCCAACTAATACCGCCACCATCAGTAGTATTAACAGCAACATAAATATAGTGATCATTTTCAAACATGATAAAAAAATATTTTCTACAAATTGGACAATAAGTTGACATATCAGTTGGTTTAGCTCCAGAT